TGGCACCAAAATCTGCAGAACGTGAAGAACCAGTGGCATCTACAGAACATGAAGAACCAGTGGCATCTACATCTGCAGAACATGAAGAACCAGTGGCACCTACATATGCAGATAATGAAGAACCAGTGGCATCTACATCTGCAGAATGTGAAAAACCAGTGGCATCTACATCTGCAGAACGTGAAGAACCAGTGGCATCTACATCTACAGAACATGAAGAACCAGTGGCACCTACATCTGCAAAACGTGAAGAACCAGTGGCATCTACATATACAGAACGTGAAGAACTAGTGGCATCTACAGAACATGAAGAACCAGTGGCATCTACAGAACATGAAGAACCAGTGGCATCTACATCAGCAGAACATGAAGAACCAGTGGCATCTACATCTACAGAACGTGAAGAACCAGTGGCATCTACATCTACAGAAAATGAACAAGCAGTGGCACCTACATCTGCAGAACGTGAAGAACCAGTGGCATCTACAGAACATTAAGAACCAGTGGCATCTACATCTGCAGAACATGAAGAACCAGTGGCATCTACATCTGCAGAACATGAAGAACCAGTGGCATCTACATCTGCAGAATGTGAAGAACCAGTGGCATCTACATCTGCAGAACGTGAAGAACCAGTGGCATCTACATCTACAGAACATGAAGAACCAGTGGCACCTACATCTGCAGAACGTGAAGAACCAGTGGCATCTACAGAACATGAAAAACCAGTGGCATCTACATCTGCAGAACATGAAGAACCAGTGGCACCTACATCTGCAGATAATGAAGAACCAGTGGCATCTACATCTGCAGAACGTGAAGAACCAGTGGCACCTACATCTGCAAAACGTGAAGAACCAGTGGCATCTACATATACAGAACGTGAAGAACTAGTGGCATCTACAGAACATGAAGAACCAGTGGCATCTACAGAACATGAAGAACCAGTGGCATCTACATCTGCAGAACATGAAGAACCAGTGGCATCTACATCTACAGAACGTGAAGAACCAGTGGCATCTACATCTGCAGAACGTGAAGAACCAGTGGAATCTACATCAGCAGAACATGAAGAACCAGTGGCATCTACATCTGCAGAACATGAAGAACCAGTGGTATCTACATCTGCAGAACATGAAGAACCAGTGGTATCTACATCTGCAGAACGTGAAGAACCAGTGGCATCTATATCTGCAGAACGTGAAGAACCAGTGGCATCTACATCTGCAGAACATGAAGAACCAGTGGCATCTACATCTGCAGAACATGAAGAACCAGTGGTATCTACATCTGCAGAACATGAAGAACCAGTGGCATCTACATCTGCAGAACATGAAGAACCAGTGGCATCTACATCTGCAGAACGTGAAGAACCAGTGGCATCTACATCTGCAGAACATGAAGAACCAGTGGTATCTACATCTGCAGAACGTGAAGAACCAGTGGCATCTACAGAACATGAAGAACCAGTGGCACCTACATCTGGAGAACGTGAAGAACCAGTGGTATCTACATCTGCAGAACATGAAGAACCAGTGGCATCCACATCTAGAGGAGACTATTCACATTTGAAAGCCATTCCCCTTGTTTAGTATAGATGCCGTACAATACCTTTGGAATTGACAGGAGTAAAATTGGACGAACGAAAGAATCGACTTACGAACAGACCTCTAGAGCCTAACTCGTTCGTAAGTAGAGGAGTCCCCGTATTGTGGAGACTCAACTTTACACTGCAATGCCATCATAAATTTCGATTTAAAGCTTTCGTGACTCCAGGGATTGATGTTCTTGGTTCTTTCGGTAAAGTCACGTAGAAGATGCCATCATAGTTTAACACGTAGGAGGCTTTCGCGACCAATATCATCCATAATAGAGTTTTTTTGGGAGCTAGATCGTGTGAATATATAAAACCCGCCACCACCCGACACAGCCAACTAGTAAGGGTTGTCACGTAAACAGAACGTGGCCAATTCGTTACTAATACAGCACTAGTGTATAGTAGTGTAGTGTATAGTAGTGTAGTGTATAGTAGAGTGTATAGTAGTGAAGAAGTGTATATTAGTGTAGTGTATAGTGTAGTATACTAGTACAGCACACTGGTGTGTTGGAGAGCCAAGCCACAACGGTTCCAATCTGAGTACGACGTTTCGCCAGTAATTGCATCTAGCTTCATCAGGCGACAGCCAAATTTGTGAAGTTCACGTGTTTCGCTCCTGATATAGAGGCGTAGATGTGGCGACCAGACTTCTGCGCTCTTGCACAAAGTGTGTGGGGGGGGGGGGGGGGGGGTTAATGAGTCAACACACATGATGCATGTGCATTATGTGTGTATTAAAATAGCCGTACCAACGGTAATCCCTATTGGTGGCCTGTATAGGCGTGCATTTAAACAAAATTTTATTTAAATTTCGATTTAAAGCTTTCGTGACTGCAATGTTGTGGCCGAAACGTCGTGAGAATATTATTGTGTTATTTTATTTTATCAATTTATTATTTTATTCTCATTCTACGTGACTTTACCGAAAGAACCAAAGAAGAAGAAAATTTTATTTGATGATTCGCTTCCACGCAGCACCAAGTCGGTAGCTTAGCGAACGGTGAAAATTATTTTTACTTCTTTCAATTTTTTTTTATAGATTCTCTAATTAGTCTTGGCCAGTAGTAGCTAGTTTTGCACAAAAAATAAACCATTATAAAAAAAATAAATTGAGTCTCCTTGTTGGCACGCGTGTTCGTTCTGCTACTGCTGACAGTTGTATTTGGGAGTTTAAAAAAAAATATTTATCCGATGTTCTTTTAGTCTCGTGCTGATCATTCGTCCTGTTTGCCCAATATAACATTTACCACGCGTGCAATTCATCCTGTACACACCTACTGTTGATAGCTTCGGTAATACATCTTTTGTACCAGATATAAATATCTGTATTTTATGTACAGTGCCAAATCTGACTCGGATGTTTTGCTTTTCCTAACATCTGGCTCGTTTATCAGTTTTAATTACTTGGGCAGTTCCAATGCTCGTGTTATTTGATTCGGTTTTGGCATTCAATGGCCTGTTGATTTGTGCATCAATGTAAGCGTTCATTCGCAGCGCTCCTTCAACGTGTCCCATAACAGTCCGCAAGAGAGCGCTACCACACTCACCACGAAACACAACAAACAGGTCCCTGCAGGGTGGGCTGGTAGGAACATTGGAATTTTGCGCAATTTTATTTTTACACCCCAACAGCACGAGATTTCACTTCGTTAAAGTATTGAAAGGGGACGGACGGACGGACACATTAATCTATTGCAGGCTGGTACACTCAGTTCACAACTTCGTTCCTACCAGTATAAGACCCCATTATTGAATCCGATTTCCATTAGCGACGTAATCTTTGACGACCAAACTTTTGAATTAAAGCTTTCGTGACTGCAGTGATTCATATTCTTGGTTCTTTCGGTAAAGTCACGTTGAAGGGAAACAATAAAATAATAATAAAAAATATATTTAAAAAAACAATAAAATTATCACGACGTTTCGACTGCAACACAAGCAGTCATCATCAGGTGTGAAAACGTCGTGAGAATTGTATTGTTTTATATAATTTTTTAATTATTTTATTGTTTCCCTTCAACGTGACTTTACCGAAAGAACCAAGAATATGACTAAACTTTTGTTAATATTGTGCCGCATTCCGAGTCAACGTTACGAGTACTCCCTTTGTTTGGCTGCTTACAAAGCTCCACGTGATGGGTCAGCTCACTTGGTTATCATTCGCGATCCGTCAGGTCGCTCCTGAACAAAAACAAATTTGAGCTATACAGCTCAGTTTGGTGGGGAGGTGGGGGGGGCGTTAGCTGGTAAAATAAAAATTAGTGAGTTAAAGCTTTCGTGACTGTAAGGATTAATCTTCTTTGGTTCTTTCGGTAAAGTCACGTAGAATGAGAATAAAATAATAAATTGATAAAATAAAATAACACAATAATATTCTCACGACGTTTCGGCCACAACACAAGCGGCCTTCATCAGGTGAAGGGACGAGGACAGCGCTGTCCTCCAGACAGTCTCGCCCCTTCACCTGATGAAGGCCGCTTGTGTTGTGGCCGAAACGTCGTGAGAATATTATTGTGTTATTTTATCAATTTATTATTTTATTCTCATTCTACGTGACTTTACCGAAATAACCAAAGAAGAAAAATTAGTGAGTTAGTATAATTGTGCCACATCCACAATCAACACCACGCGTCTCGAGATCAGCCCTCGGCTGCTCAGGGGCCGTCCATAAATGACGTCACGCACCTAGGGGTAGGGGGGAGGGGTCAGACGTTTGTGACGATGTGTGACGAGCGGGGAGGGGGTTGAGAGATGTGACGTCACATCAAAATGCGCAACTTTAAATAAATATAGACAACACGTTCTACTTAATTAAATAGACTTTTTAATAAATGTTTTCTCCTACAACATCAGAGTGCAGCGCCACATTAAATACGCACTACAATGACAATAGTTTAAAGCGATTTGAAGCATGTTTTATTTTTTTTTGGGGGGGGGGCCGAGCTTTGTGACGTCATATTGGAGGGGGGGGGGTCTGACTTTTTGTGACGCCGTGTGACGATGGGGGGGGGGGCAAAAATCGAGTGACGTCATTCATGGACGGCCCCCTACAAAATCTCCACGTGATGAGTCAAACCCGCTTCGTTATCATTTGCAATAGCGAGCGAGCTCCTGTACAAGACAAAAATCTATACAGCTCAGTGTGTGTGTGTGGGGGGGGAGGAGGGGTGAAGGCCTTATCCGGTAAAATAAAACAAACAGTGAGTTAGTATAATTGGCTAGAAGTCTGCGAAAACCCAGAAAACCCAAATCCGACGCGAGATTCTGGGTTCAATCCCGCGAAAGCAGAGGGGGCGCGCGCGTGCGCGCGAGCGAGAGAGAACCGCGTGACGTCACACTTCCGTCACGTGACGCGGGGGAGGGGAGGGCAGCCCCCCCCCCCCCGCGGAATCCCCGCCCCGCCCCCTCCCCCACTTTCTCTTGAGTCCCATCACGGCCGCTCGCCACCACCATCATCCTCCTCATCATCATCATCCTCATCATCATCCTCCTCATCATCATCCTCCTCATCCTCCTCATCATCAATTAACTCGATCGTCACGGGCGATTGCAGGAACGCGGGGGGTGGGTGGGGGGGGCACGCGGCGATGTCTGTGGCGGGGCTGAGGAAGCAGTTCCACAAAGCGAGTCAGGTAACGGGGCTAGACACCACAACCACTACCACAACCACTACCACAACTACCACCACCACCACCAACCACCACCACCACTACCACCAACCACTACCAACAACCACTACCACAACTACCACCACCACCAACCACCACCACCAACCACTACCACCACCACTACCACCAACCACTACCACAACTACCACCAACAACAACCACCACCAACAACAACAACCACCACCAACAACCACTACCAACCACTACCACCAACAACCACCAAAACTACCACCACTACCACCAACCACTACCAACAACCACCAACAACCACTACCAACAACCACCACCAACCACTACCACCACCAACAACCACCACCAACAACCACCACCAACCACTACCACCACCAACAACCACCACCACCACCACCAACAACCACCACCAACCACCACCAACCACTACCAACCACCACCAACAACCACCACCAACCACTACCACCACCAACAACCACCACCAACCACTACCAACCACCACCACCAACCACTATCACTACCACTACCAACTACCACCACCAACCACCACCAACCACCACCACCACCAACCACCACAACTACCACTACCATCAACAACCACCACGACAACCACTATCACCACCACCAACCACCACCAACAACCACCACGACAACCACCACCACCAACCACTACCGCAACAACCACTACCACCACCACCAACAACCACCACTACCACCACCAACAACCACCACGACAACCACTATCACCACCACCAACCACCACCAACAACCACCACGACAACCACAACCACCAACCACCCTGCTCCTTCTCCCTCCGTCCATACTTCACCACCGCCGCGCGCGTCTCCGCTAATTGTGGAGGGCGTTTGGCGCCAATGAACGCGACTCGCCGCTTTGATGTCACGGACGAACCGCGCTGTTTGTTGACACGAGGGGACCCTGACAACAACAACACCAACAACAACAACACCAACAACAACACCACCACAGCGCGCATCGCCTCAGAGTCGTGACGGTGGTGGTGGTGATGGTGTTGTTGGTGGTGATGATGATGGTGATGATGGTGATGATGGTGATGATGATGGTGATGATGGTGATGATGATGGTGCTGATGATGATGGTGCTGATGATGGTGATGATGGTGATGATGATGGTGATGATGGTGATGATGATGGTGCTGATGATGATGGTGCTGATGATGGTGATGATGGTCATGATGATGGTGATGATGATGGTGATGATGGTGATGATGGTGATGATGATGGTGATGATGGTGGTGATGATGGTGATGATGATGGTGATGATGGTGCTGATGATGATGGTGATGATGATGGTGCTGATGATGATGGTGCTGATGGTGATGATGTTGTTGGTTTGTGGAGGACGACGCGTGCCGACGTGGCGCCCGGGCACGTGGGCTCGGCCCTTGCTGATGACTGACGATCATTAACCGTGGTGCTGATGATGATGATGGAGCTGATAATGACAATGCTGTTCGCTGCTGCTGATGATGATGCTGCTGCTGATGATGATGCTGCTGCTGCTGCTGATGATGATGATGATGCTGCTGCTGCTGATGATGCTGCTGCTGATGATGTTGGTTTGTGTGGTTCTCGTGTGACGTGGCGCCAGGGAACAGAAACTGAGCTCAGCGCTTCAGAAAAGTTGATGGTGATGATTAGCCTTGCTGATGATGATGATGATGATTACGATGGTTCTGCCGATGATGATGCTTCTGCTGATGCTGCTGCGGCTGATGATGATATTGACGTTGACGATGCTGCGTAAATTATTGCATCGGGTTCAATTCTGTTGGTGCTGTAATTATAACGGGACTCGTGAGCTGGACGCGACAGCTCACGATGATGATGCTGATGCTGATTATGATGATGATGCTGCTGCTGATTATGATGATGATGCTGCTGCTGATGCTGCTGCTGATGCTGCTGCTGATGATGCTGCTGCTGATTATGATGCTGCTGCTGATGATGATGATGCTGCTGCTGATGATGATGTTGCTGCTGCTGATGCTGCTGCTGATGCTGCTGCTGATGATGCTGCTGCTGATTATGATGCTGCTGCTGATGATGATGATGATGATGCTGCTGCTGATGATGATGATGTTGCTGCTGCTGATGCTGCTGCTGCTGCTGATGATGCTGCTGCTGCTGCTGCTGATGATGATGCTGCTGATGATGATGCTGCTGCTGTTGCTGATGCTGCTGATGATGCTGCTGATGATGATGCAGCTGCTGATGATGATGCTGCTGCTGATGATGATGCTGCTGCTGATGATGCTGCTGATGATGATGATGATGCTGCTGCTAATGATGATGATGCTGCTGCTAATGATGCTGCTGCTGATGATGCTGCTGATGCTGCTGCTGCTGCTGATGATGCTGCGGATGCTGCTGCTGATGCTGCTGATGATGCTGCTGATGCTGTTGCTGATGCTGCTGCTGATGATGCTGATGATGCTGTTGCTGATGATGATGCTGCTGCTGATGATGATGCTGCTGATGATGCTGATGCTGCTGCTGCTGATGCTGCTGCTGATGCTGCTGCTGCTGATGATGCTGATGCTGCTGCTGATGATGCTGCTGATTCTGCTGCTGATGATGCTGCTTTGATTATAAGGGGACCCGCAGACCGGGCGCGACAGCTGATGATGATGATGCTGCTGCTGATGATAATGCTGATGTTACTGCTGATGATGCTGCTGATGATGATCATGCCGTGATTGTAAGGCGACCTCGACAGCTGATGATGATGATACTGCTGATGCTGCTGCTGATGATAATGCCGTGATTGTAAGGCGACCCCGACACCTGATGATGATGATGATACTGCTGCTGCTGATGATGATGCCGTGATTGTAAGGCGACCCCGACAGCTGATGATGATGATACTGCTGATGCTGCTGCTGCTGCTGCTGATGATGATGATGCTGCTGCTGCTGATGATGATGCTGCTGCTGATGATGCTGCTGATGCTGCTGCTGATGATGCTGCTGATGATGCTGCTGATGATGCTGCTGCTGATGATGCTGCTGATGCTGCTGCTGATGATGCTGCTTTGATTATAAGGGGACCCGTAGACCGGGCGCGACAGCTGATGATGCTGCTGCTTCTGATGATGCTGATGTTACTGCTGATGATACTGCTGCTGATGATGATCATGCCGTGATTGTAAGGCGACCCCGACAGCTGCTGATGATGATACTGCTGATGCTGATGATGCTGCTGCTGCTGATGATGCCGTGATTGTAAGGCGACCCCGACAGCTGATGATGATGATGATACTGCTGATGATGATAATGCCGTGATTGTAAGGCGACCCCGACAGCTGATGATGATGATACTGCTGATGCTGATGATGCTGCTGCTGATGATGCCGTGATTGTAAGGCGATCGTGACAGCTGATGATGATGATACTGCTGCTGCTGATGATGCTGCTGATGATGATGCCGTGATTGTAAGGCGACCCCGACAGCTGATGATGATGATACTGCTGCTGCTGATGATGATGCCGTGATTGTAAGGCGACCCCGACAGCTGATGATGATGATACTGCTGATGCTGCTGCTGCTGCTGATGATGATGCTGCTGCTGCTGATGATGATGCTGCTGCTGCTGCTGATGATGCTGCTGATGCTGCTGCTGATGATGCTGCTGATGATGCTGATGCTGCTGATGATGCTGCTGATGCTGCTGCTGATGATGCTGCTTTGATTATAAGGGGACCCGTAGACCGGGCGCGACAGCTGATGATGCTGCTGCTTCTGATGATGCTGATGTTACTGCTGATGATACTGCTGCTGATGATGATCATGCCGTGATTGTAAGGCGACCCCGACAGCTGCTGATGATGATACTGCTGATGCTGATGATGCTGCTGCTGCTGATGATGCCGTGATTGTAAGGCGACCCCGACAGCTGATGATGATGATGATGATACTGCTGATGATGATAATGCCGTGATTGTAAGGCGACCCCGACAGCTGATGATGATGATACTGCTGATGCTGATGATGCTGCTGCTGATGATGCCGTGATTGTAAGGCGATCGTGACAGCTGATGATGATGATACTGCTGCTGCTGATGATGCTGCTGATGATGATGCCGTGATTGTAAGGCGACCCCGACAGCTGATGATGATGATACTGCTGCTGCTGATGATGATGCCGTGATTGTAAGGCGACCCCGACAGCTGATGATGATGATACTGCTGATGCTGCTGCTGCTGCTGATGATGATGCTGCTGCTGCTGATGATGATGCTGCTGCTGCTGCTGCTGATGATGCTGCTGATGCTGCTGCTGATGATGCTGCTGATGATGCTGATGCTGCTGATGATGCTGCTGATGCTGCTGCTGATGATGCTGCTTTGATTATAAGGGGACCCGTAGACCGGGCGCGACAGCTGATGATGCTGCTGCTTCTGATGATGCTGATGTTACTGCTGATGATACTGCTGCTGATGATGATCATGCCGTGATTGTAAGGCGACCCCGACAGCTGCTGATGATGATACTGCTGATGCTGATGATGCTGCTGCTGCTGATGATGCCGTGATTGTAAGGCGACCCCGACAGCTGATGATGATGATGATACTGCTGATGATGATAATGCCGTGATTGTAAGGCGACCCCGACAGCTGATGATGATGATACTGCTGATGCTGATGATGCTGCTGCTGATGATGCCGTGATTGTAAGGCGATCGTGACAGCTGATGATGATGATACTGCTGCTGCTGATGATGCTGCTGATGATGATGCCGTGATTGTAAGGCGACCCCGACAGCTGATGATGATGATACTGCTGATGCTGATGATGCTGCTGCTGCTGATGATGATGCCGTGATTGTAAGGCGACCCCGACAGCTGCTGCTGATGATACTGCTGATGCTGCTGCTGATTATGATGCTGCTGCTGATGATGCCGTGATTGTAAGGCGACCCCGACAGCTGATGCTGATGATACTGCTGATGCT